ACAACTTACTTGGCGTATTGAATTGTTCAATTACATTCGCGAGTCCCAATTGAAAAATGTTATCTAAAATCGTGTTGGCAGCCGTTGAGTTCAACCACAGGGCAACAAAAGTCAGCGCTAAGCTTACAAATTCCATTGAAAATTACAAATCCAATTTTCTATTTTTTCTTTTATTTTTATATTATAAAAGTTTGCGTAAATTGTGTAACGCTTGCTGTATAAACACGCTCGTCTGGTGCTTATTAACGTATGGGGTCAGCATTGCGAATCATCTTAATTTATAAGTTCATCAAGGAATCTGTCGCGCATGAGGTTAGCGTACGCAAACTTATTTGAATTAGCTTATAATGTTAGAATTTAATAAACAATGCTGCTAAACCAGTCAGCGCTGTTAAGTTACATAGGTTAATCGCGAACAGCAGCTAATGCGGCGGCTCACTTGACTGTTAACAGTCTGTCTACATTACATCGATCAGCTGTTCGCAGCCCGAGTACGTGAGCGTAAAATAAACACAGCGGGAGAGCGAGAGTGGGCAAGCGGAAAACTATACAGCAAAGCAAATGTGTTTAAAGTCGCGTGAGACCGGCTAAATTGCACTTGTTTACTATTACACAAATATGTAACAGCTGCAGACCTTGCCTACTCGCCTAGCTAGTAGAAGTTTGTTGATCAACAATACGCTCAGTCTGCCGGCCCGTCTGTTTGTTTTGTTGCCACCGTCTAGAAAACCTGTTCCAACACTTGTGTATTTAAATATTTTCTTCACACATCTTCATTTTTATTTACTTTTTGAGCATTTGTTTACAGGCACATCTTTTTTCTTTCAAATACTCAGTAGTCTACTTTTCTTTTATCACTCATGTTTGGGTTGTTAAGTGTATTACGATCTGATGCCATCGTTAATCAATATTTTTTCAACTGATTTTGGTTTGACCTGCTTATGTGTACATAACTATGTATGTATTAATCGGCCGAACATAGACCTCTAAAACAGTGAGGTCTGAGCAGATGGACTCTTCAAGCAAATGTCCCTTACCCGGTTATAAGTGGTAGCGCTGTATGGAATATTACTTAAATTGGATGACGACATAGTATTGATGGTATCAGAAATCCACAAACCGTGACATTATGGAAGGAGCCCTACGAAGGTTACACAATTGTCCGCGAATAATGGACTAGGTGCTAACCCTAATAAGACGGAACTCATGACGAACGCGAATAAAACCAAAATACCTCAATTTCAACTTCCTTCACTCGGAGATACTAAATGCTTTATATTGCGCATTACACGTACTCAACTGGAACTATGACCTAAAGCGAATATATTCCACTATATAAGGGCGTTATTATAACAGCGGGTGGTAACCCGAGAGCACGGTGTGGAACATTTTTAGTGGTGAAGGTTAAAGATACAATATAATATCAGAAAATTAAATGGAATACTGAGGACAGCCTGTGCAATGATAACCGGAGCTGTAAAGCATCCATGTTTTATAGGGAAAGTAGCAGCATTTTCCGCTTTAAGAATTAAGTAATCAGTTGGTTGGAATGGGGAGAGTTATGAGCATTGTGGTATTCTGAACCAGCTCAAAACAAAACTAATAAATCAGACTATCTCTTCTCAAGGTTAGATGTCCATAGTTAAAATTTTTGTATATGTTGTTTATTGATATTTTAATAAAAAAAAAAAAAAAAAATGAAAAAAAACAAAATTCTTGGAGATACGGGCCGCTGGAGTGGGGTCTTCAAAAAAAAAAAAACGGTGCGTCCATTTCAACCCTTGCAGAGATCTAAAACACAAAAAACAAGAAGATTCTTCTTTAGTAAGGATGTCGTTATCGAGTTGACCTTTTTCAAAAAAAAAAATAAAATAAAAAAAAAAAATAATAATAATAAATAAATAAAAATAACAAAATTACGTCGAATTGAAAAAAAAAGTTGTTTGACCCGATTTTTTCAACTTTTTCGAGATTTTTAAAAATACTTCAAATCAAAATTTTTGGAAATCCAAGGCAGACACGATAGACCATAGTAAAAGAAGATATATACCAAATTTCAAAGTAATCGGTTCAGTAGAACTTGAGATATCATGTCAACCACCTCAAAAAAAATAGTCACACAATTCACTGTATCTCCGAAAATAAGTCGAATTTTGAAAAATCCTTCCAAGGTCATATTTTTCAAAGTCTAAACTTTCAAAATATGCAAAAAAAACTTTTTTTTCAAAATCATGAACCAGAATACCCCCTTAAGTAAAAAGTTGCCAAAAAATGTAGGAATGCCCTAATCACTGACTGGTCAACTCCGTTTGTTCATAATTTGGGCTCTAGGGCACAGTAACATTTTCGGCAACGAAAAAACAGACAAGTTGCTCAAGTCAAGAGTCTCTCTAGATGAATCCGATAGAAAGATAATACCAATACCGTGTCCGCTACGAACGATCAAAAGGGAGCTCCGTCCCCACGACAGTCGGGTCTACGAAAACCGGAACGGACCCGGATTTTTATCCGGCCAAGGACTGTCAACTCGGCAGAATTCTGCCGTTACAACAACAACAACATCAAAAGGGAGCTCTACATAATTTGTTCAAATGCATACCTATTTTGTTCTGAGGAAATCTGTAACCAAGTGCGAGATAGCGAAGCAGATAATCAAAAAAATATGACAAGGCAATAAGTAAGGACTTATTAAATGGGTTCCGTGCAATACCTACATACGGGTGATGGAAGCCAATATTCCAAGAGTAGGGTTTTAAATTTTGTTATTGCCCTAACATTTGATTCGAGCAATCTTTATGTCTTCACTTATGTCTTTACCCTTCGTTGACAGCTGTGTGGGTGCCATTGGTAAAATATAGGAATTTTCACCGAAAAAAGTATATTGGTGAAGCCATACTTACATCAATAATGCTACAACACCAATAATGGAGAGTAACTGTTAAATGTGTATTTTATTTAAGTTGATTCAAAGTTTGATTTGAATGTCTTTTGTGTCTTTGTCGGAAAATCTTTAATAACCTTAGTTTCAAACATCGAAGTCACGATAGAATTATAGAAGTAGTAACAGCGGATTTACCACCCGTTAGCGCGACAAAAGCTCTCCAAGTTGGTCACTTAGTCATTACAATTCCGAACATGTTGCCAGTGACTCGGTTAACGACTCCATAATAATAATCTTCCACAAAGTTATGTAAATCATGATGATGCTATAACTTGTGATTGAATTCTTAATAGTCACGCATAATCCTTTGAAAGAAAAATCTTAATAGTTTTTATTCTAAAGACTTGATAATTATTAACTTAGATATTTACAATAACATAGTACACAGTAAAACACATATACCTGGGACCTATTCTAATATATTTAGAAAGAAAAAGACATTTCAGCAGTTATTTACTTGATCAGCGCTCTGACATACGTAGCTTGAATAAACGAATCAAAGACGACAAAATTGAGCTTTGTTTTTATAAAATTTAAGTTATTCTGCTGTCCATATATTTTGTGCTTTGATGTTTTCTTGTTTATGAGAACTGTCCATCTAGTCCAAAAGGCCAAACAATCAAGACTTTTAATTGGTCAACAGTTTTCAAACTGGTTAATGCAAATATTCCGCACCTATTAATGATCTTTCAAATGTTGACCGCGGCTACGTCTCAGATGGATCATTCGTTGAGCGCAATTTTCGATTACTCGTTCGAGCATTTCAACTTTTAACTGGCGAATGACACGCCCGATGTGAAATCCCCACAGAAGTCTAACGATATGACATCACACGACAATGGTGGTTAGTCGATCGGCCTAAAACGTGAAATTATCCTCTCACCGAAGTGTTCTCTTAATAAATCCATTGATTGCCTATGATTCCACCGGTCCACGAACCACAACAAACTGTCATCTTTTCTGGATAAATTGGCAGGCTTGAATCTCTACAGGTTGCTCTGCGTAATTTTTTTGCTTGTTTACATACCCATTGAGCCAGAAATGGATCTCATCTCTGAATTTAAAATTTGGCTCGAAATCGTCGTATCTTTTTGGAAACTTCTTAAGAGCCCATAGAGCGAAGTGTTGTCGCTTGGGAAGTCGATCGGTTTCAGTTCTTGCACAAGCTGTATTTTGTACGATTTCACGTTAAGATATCGACGTAAAATGCGCCAATGTTGCGAACGTCGCCGAATCGCCTCTTCACGCTCTTCGTGAACATTCTCAGCAGCTATGGCTGCTATATTTTCCTCACTGCGTGCCAATTACGTCCAGCATTCGGTCGAATATTAACTAATAATGAGTGCTGGGTCTCAAGAAGGATAAAGGTGTTGTGAATAGTACGCTCAGTAGGCCGACTATGCTGACCGTAAGTCGAGCCAAGTGCACATTCTTTACAGAAAGTGAATTTTCGTAATACAGTTGAAGGATTTGTAAACATTGTACAGGCGTAAGTTTCTCCATGATGAAAAGCCAAACAATACTGAACAGAAATAACATGACAGCTTCACAACTCACGAGTGATTTGTCACAAAAGACTATTGAAAAAAGTACCGCTACTTGAAACACCCGTTATATTAATATTATGAAATTCATACGTTATAGACCATGCGATGAAATTGCTTGGAAAATAAAGATAAACTATTAATAATCAAAGGAAAATATTAAATTTAATTAATAATTAAATATAATTTAATAATTAATTAATATTTAAATTTAATATTCCCTGTAATATATCCTTCTATTAGTCCATTCATATAACTAATTGATTATTTCAATAATCTCTTATCAATTATACATTAACGTAAATATACTATTGCACTGTCTTTCATTCTCACTCTTTTGAGATTCGTTACAAATTCGATACAATTCTGACGTCAACCAACAAGCATCTTTGTCAAAATTGATCTAAATTGACCATATATTTTTTTCATATCCTCAGATAGACACCTAATTAGTTGTCACTTTAAAATACCTTCGCCTGAAGATAAATTAACAAACTTATACGCTCGTGAATGTTTGTTGATGACGCCCAAAGGCTTATATGCGTTTCACTTCTAGTTTCTTTTACGATGCATAATTTCGAACTCAAATACCGGTTTTCATACATATATTTTATTCGCTATTAATATTTACATATCTAATTCACTAGAACACGTTTCACTTTGTGCTTGTCCCCGCAAATTGGGTGACACTTAACCTAAATCTTATAAGAAGAGTTCACGTCAATTAAAGTAACAAATTATTATATGAGTTTATTAGCTAAAGCTAACTTTTACATCTTCTCCGATATTCACTGCCAGTCGCCGCGTATCATATCGGCTGCTTTCTCTCCGATCATATACGACGCTGCGTTAGTGTGCGCCGTGGGCGGGAAAGGTATGATGCTAGTATCAACGACACGCAAATGCTTTATGCCGTGCACTTTCAACTCGGCGTTGACAACAGTGCTGGGATCACTTTCGGGGCCCATTCTACATGTGGCCACTTGGTGATGCAGTGTGTAGGAGAGCGTGCGGATGGAACAGCGCCAGTAGTCGTCCGTGCCGAAGTTATGCTGTTCGCAGCCGGGTAACGGTATATCGTGTATGCGTGTGCCCAATGCTTGCATCGCTGGTGTTTGCGTAATGCGTATGGCCTCCTTAATACCCTCCAACATGAACTGTACATCATTCGCATTGCGGAAATATTTAGGATTTATGCGTGGCCACTCGAAAGGATTACGGTTGTGCAGCCACATACGGCCCACAGATTTCGGATGGAACTGCATGATAAGAAAACTGAAATGATCCTGTCGTGAGATTTGTAGTGGACGATAAACTTTGTCGTAGAGTTCGTCTTTGAAGTTTGCGCCCTGTTTGAGGGCAGTGCCTTGATCGGCGGCTAAGCTACCGGCTACTGTAATGATCTCCATATCAGGCATATCGACGGGTTCCTTAGAGCTGGGCACCTTGAAAAATGTGAGCGCCTCTACGCCGCCAATCGAAGATAGCATAGTGGTGGGATTGCCGAGCAGAAATGACTTTACTACGGTGGAATTGAGATGCGCTATGTTTAGCAGTTGCCTATCTGTATTGACCGTAAACGTGGGTCCAAAGTGACACATGTGATCATAGAGCAGTTTACCCACCGGTAGTTCCTTCACTATGGGTACACCGATAGCTTTCAGATTGTCTGCGGGTCCTACGCCGGATAACATCAAAAGTTGTGGTGAGTTGAAGGCGCCTGCCGAGAGTATGACCTCCTTGCGTGCGCGCACCTTATAATACTTATTGCGGTACATGAGTTCTACGCCGGTCGCGCGTTTTGTAACGGGATCTATTAATACACGTGTGACGCGCGTCATTGTCACAATATGTAGATTTTTTCTTTGATAACGTATCGGCTCAATGTAAGCGCGATATGCGCTATGACGTCTGCCGCGCAGCGTATTGGCTTGCACATAGGACGCCCCTATTTGTGACTCCCCATTGTAGTCTGTGCGTGGATGTCCAGCTTGCTGCGCGCCCTTCAAATAAGCATGCACTGCTGGTGTGCGATACTGCACATCCTCCACGCTCAGCGGTCCGGTATGATTGTGATATTCTGAGTCCTCCAAACCAGCCAGGTTTGCGGCTTCCGATTTAAGAAAGTACGGCAAGACTTCCGCATATGACCAACCTTTATTGCCTGCAGCAGCCCAACGATCAAAGTCACGTTTATTGCCGCGATTGTAGATCATATAGTTGATGGAGCTGGTGCCGCCCAACACCTTGCCGCGCGGCAAGAAGCACTCATTGTTATTCATGCCAAAGCAGGCGTCTTTCTGCGGTGTCGACTTGTAGCCCCAATTGGAATGTGTGCCCTGCAGATACGCAGCGAGCACGGGCATCTGATGAAACATGCCCTCTACACCGCCCGCCTCGATCAAGTAAACCGTCCAGTTAGGATTTTCGGACAGACGATTGGCGAGCACACAACCAGCTGGCCCGGCGCCAACTATAATGAAGTCGTAGCTGGCATTTTGACGCGGCGCTGTGTGGAGAAAATTAATACATAAACAATTTTACATTCTAGTTTAAGGCTAGGCGTCATACCGTCATTATAGAGCGTAGATAAAATTAGATTTTCCAAGCCGATGCCAAGCACTTGCTGTAAATGCTGTGTCTGCGAATACTGCGCGCAACTCGATGCAACCAGCGCTGCCGCTAAAATTGAAAACCTCAACAACCAGTAGCAGAGCTCGTTCATTTTGCAATCTGTAAGTGTTAAATATTGTTACGCAACACACGCGTTCTCAACCGTTAAAGTCTAAACTCTATTTGTGGCAAATTGGACACACGCGCTACGAATTTTGAGTTATATTTTGACTTAAGCTTTACTAACCAAATATACGCAACTTGTAACGTTTAAAAAATATTTGAGGCAGATTTGACACACGCGCTTTGAATTTTGACTTAAATTTTCTTTTCGATCCTTAACGGTTGACTATTATTACTTTATAAATTGTTCAGTTCCGCATCCGTGTGCTGTTACGTCCAGCCAACTTGCCGTCTATGTTTGGACTGTGTGCGCCGCGTTACAACTGAGGCTTTTGAGATTCTTTCTTTTGCTCCGTGGTATTTGTAGCTTTATGCTTTGCTATTGTTTCCGTGCCATTTCTTCTGCATCTTTCTACAGTTCAATGCGTTTGCTTCGTAGTTCAACGCCCTAAACGCGTAATTCTTAATGTTGGCAACGAACGCGCACGCTCCCGTACTCCTCGAACGCACTTTTGGTAATAAAACCACCGTTGCTTGGTTCAAGTAGTGCTGGCCTTTCGCTTACATACGGCCAAGATCGTACACTGCATGCTGCGGTACGTACATGTACGCGTGTTTGTTGCCCTTAAGCAAACAAGTTATATTTTATATTTACATGCGCACACATGCAAACAAACATAATTAAAAAATCCAAAAGTCTTAACCATTCCATTTAATTTTTTGTGTTAATTAATGCCAACGTTATTTATTTACCGGTACAGTGGCACCACAACACTACATAACGCATTTTTGTTGGCCTGTCCATCTAACTGCTGATTGCCCACCTGTCCAGCGTGGTCCAACGACGCGCCTTCCAAACCGGTTGTGCGATTTCTCATGGCTCGTAAACATGTGACAACCATCGATAGTTCATTTGATTACTTCTGTTTCTTCATTCCCCCCGACTTGCAATGCTGCACTTGTTTGCTGACGTTGTTTGTATGTAAAGCCAGTTGATGCAGCTTTTGTTGTTTTAGACGTCGACCTACCATATGTCCATGAAGTGATCTTGAATTTAAGAGTCATTTGAGGCCGCATTGTACTCGCACGAAAGAAAAAACTTTAACTCCGGCTGCATCGAAACCTCACAATGTAAGAAGTTTCCATACAAGAACTTCAGTTTGATAGTTCAATGTATGTAATGCATAATAATATGTCATGATATAGTGGTCCGATATCGGCGGTTCATATAACTGAGCAGTTTCTTGAGAAGTAGAAAAAATGCCCATGAGTTTCGTGACACACTTAATATACCCTGTTGAGGGTATTAAAATGTATGTTTTTTTTTGTGTGTGTGTTGACAGTCAATTTTTTCGTTTGACAAACGTAGGCTTTATCAGGTCTTTTTTATAACGTCTTATTGCTGACAATCTGACAGTCATCACCGTATATAATTTGCTGTATTATCAAATGATTGACAACGTTGTGTAAACTATGTACATATCTAAACATTACCCGGAAATTGTAATTAAGGTAAGGGTAAATGATATTTCAAACAAATGTATTTTTCTAAGTTGGTAGGGCTATTCTTAATTACTACGTCAAATATGAGCGTGATCTGTCAGCCAGTTTGTTTACAGCAGTTAAGCAACCAAATATAGAACAAAGAATTTGTCCTAAATTTTGTATTTCTAAACCTATTTCGTGTGCGGAATCGTTGCGAGTGTTGGAAAAGACTTACAGTGATTCAGTTTTATAAACTGCACAAGCGTACGAGTGGTACCCAGCCTTCAAAGAAGAGAGATCGTTGAAAACATACCTCGTTCTGGAGCACCTTCGACTTCTTCAACGAATGAAAATATTAAAAAGGTGTAATAGAGCGATGACAAGAGAGCTCGACATCTCTAGCGCATCCGTTCGAAAGATTTTGGTGGATATTATGAAATGCGTTCTAGCCCGACTCGTCGCGATAAAGCTGAACTTTTCTCGTAAAGATTTTCGTAAACAGGTCTCCTTTCAGATTCTTGATTTTGCGAATTCCGATCCAACATTCTAGGAGAGTATCACTGCCGATGAAACAAGGGTTTATGAGTTTGACATTCAAACAAGTCAACAATTATCGGAATTGAGGGAAAAAGCAAGCTGAAACCAAAGAAATCACGCCAAAGCCGCTCAAAAACCAAGGTGATACTCATTTTTTTCCTATATTCGTGGTTTGGTGCATCATGGATTTGTTCCGGTCGATAAGTAGTTCTATTTTGCCCTATGAAGGCCTTTGCGTGGGAACATCCATTGATGATAATGCACCATCGCATCAAGCCACGATTGGGGCCGAATTTAAAGCCAAAAACGAGAAAATACCCAGCAATCGTGTACACTTTTATTAAACTAAAATTAAATATTTAAAAATGTAAAGGGTGCTTTTTAACTTAGAAATAAAATTTCCAATATTTTAGCTTTTTAGTAATCATTTATTGCTTGAGTTGATTTTCGTGTCCATAACTTCCGCGACTGCGCTTTATAAAAATACCGTTCCAAATATGTACCTCTTTTTCCCATAGACGCTTATTTTTCGATAATGGTCAGTCATAGCTGCTTTATCATCTGAGATCAATGAATTAATGTATGTAGCTCCTTAAAAAATAATAAGTAGGAGCCAAATCAAATGAATATCCCAATTTCTTAATATGACTTGGTCACTAAAAAGGGATGATATGTACTATTGTATATATAGTATATACTATATTTCTACGAACGTGTCAAAGTTTGAGAGAAAAGTTGGACATATAAGTTTATTATTGGGAACAGTCCATCATCTTTAGTTTCAGGTTCACTATTTCTTCCCAACCATTGTAAGCTGTTTCATTAAATATCTGAGATTAAGGTACATAAGTTAGCTTTGCCCTAGTATTGCGATCTGGCAACACAATACGATCTGTTATCGTAAAGCTTGGCCTTTTTGATGGCTCAATCAATCGAGGTCGTAGTCCAAGACGAATTTCGTGGAGGTCGTACAAAAGCAGTTGTGGTTCTACGATAATATACGGAACATATAAAAAAGTGTTCACTTAGTATCCTACACAATTTGTCAATCGGCTCGTGTTGATTATTTGGGAGAAATAGTAAAAGAATACCGTAGCGCTGCTTCCAAACACATCTGTGAAATCGTGAGAGTTGATGAAACGTGGATTTACGCGTATAAGATCGAATGTAAAGGTCAGTCTACTGCATGGGTATTTCAAGATGAGTCGCATCCGAAAAGGAAAACCAGCCCCCGAAGACGGATTCTTCTTCAGCACGACAAAGCACCATTTATTATTATTACTATCCAGTAGTGTTATGCCACCATGCGGAGCCATAGCAATAAGTTTCATCTTTCCCTGGTTGTAGAAATTCTCACTGAGCACTGATCAATAGTTGACAATAAAATTAAAAGTATGATCACAGTTGTACAAGTTACCTGAAAGAGAATGAGACATTATCATATCACTAGTTGAGATCTGTGTAATTTAGCGGGATCAGAAATAAAACACCTATGAAAATTAGTGGTATGCGCTTTGGCTACTCTTAACTATAAGAGTATTTCGAATTGAATTCTGCTGAATGGTCCATTCTATAGAAAAAAAGCAAACCCCAAACAACTAACCACTTTACAACTAATTTCGAAACTACTTTAAAATACTTTTGTATATATTTTGCAGGATGGTTAAAAAAAATTCTGGCTTAAGAAAAATTATTTACAGGCAAAGGCTATTAGTGAAATTTTAGTGATTCTTTGCTACTTCTCTAAGCAATTTCTTACAAAACGTTATCTCCTATTATATGCACTTGTGTGAAGGATTTGTAGAATTATTTTTTTTAGGTTGGTAGCACTGTAAGTCACATTTATATAAAATTTCATGTCAAAATATTCATTAGTGTTTGAGATACTTGTCGTTTTGTGTGCGGCTAAAAGTGAGTTTTTCGTTTTTTGCGCTGTCGAAATTTGTTGAGCAAAGAATTTGCATTAAATTATCATTTCGCCAAAATCCATATCGTTCCGCAACCACCGTATTCGCCTGATCTAGCGCCGTGCGACTTCTGGCAGTTCACCAAGCTGAAAAGACCGCTCCGGCGACACCGTTTTTATACTATAGAGAAGTTTCAAGCCGCAGCGAAGACGGAACTGAAGGCCATACCGGAAAGTGACTACAACCTGTGTTTCGAAGATTGGAAAATCCGTTGGCATAATGTGCTACATCTAGTTTGGATTACTTTGAAGGGGATGAAATTGATTTGGAAGAATAAATAAAGAATTTTCAAAATAAATACCATGTCACCTAATTTTTTGGACACATATCTATATTACATATATAGTATAACGTTTTGTTAAGCGCTGTGTTGAGTTTTATAAAACTGAAAAGACCACATAGTTTATATCTAAATTGTGTTAAAATTGGAAAAACAAATCACAAATAAAAATATATATTTCAAAACAGAATATTCAAAGTTAACACATTAATAATGTTGAGTACATTGTCCAAAAAACATTTTTCAACTCGTAAACGATATACGAGTACATGACAATACTTCCAGTTTTTCTCGAAAATTGCAAACGCACAAAACTTAGTGAACACGCAAATAACTTTTAATTTAACTTATCGTTGATAAATAAAATTTATTTAATATTTTTTAATTTCTTTTTCAGGTATGTTTCCACTGTAAATTTGCGTAACTTAAACTATGAGGTGAGAAAATATTGTTAACTTGTGTGACCTTAATTCTTATCAAAATTAAGTAGATTACTTAAGAAAACTAAATACATATGAAAATTAAATACTGCAATATCGTATTAAACACGTCAGCACCTACTGTGCTTCGAAGATTGGAAAAACCGTTGGCACAAGTGTATATCCGTAATATCTCATGGGGATTACTTTGAAGGGGACAAAATAGATATTCATGAAGAAATAAATAATTTTTGAAAAACCACAAAATTCGCGATACTTTTTGAACACACCTCGTATATTTCGGGATACGAGAAAATAAAAACGAATTTTAAAAATTGAAATTCTCAATTAAGATCTATTTTTACACTTTTGTATGTGTTTGCACCAATCTGCGCAGTACTTTTGCCATTCTGATAGCGGTATCTCTAAAATATTACGGACGGAAAAAAGTCAATCGGGGCCAAATCAGAATTATATTGAGGCTGACTAATCAAATAGATGATTCGAGTACTCAAAAAGTTGTTCTAAACAAACATGCGCCAACAACTTTTGTCGGATTTGACTCATCTTGTCGCACCCATACAGTCGACTGATCTTTACTTTCGGGGCTCATAAAAGTAAATCCATGTCTCATCATCTCTCACGATTTCACAGAAGTTTTTGGTAGCAGCGCTATCGTATTATTTTAGCATTTCTACTGACCAATCGACACAAGCCGTTTTTTTTATTGACAAATTGTTTGGGATCCAACCTGAACAACTATTTTTACGGTAAAACATCAATAGTTTTTGAAACAACTTATTTTGG